GTGATTTCTTTTAGGGTGTATATATTAACAACAATTAGAAAACTATATTGCGTCAGACGTTAATTTTCATTGCCGAAAGTTTGTGTATGTAACTTATTTATATCTCCCTTTACAAATACTCCGATTTAGTTTAGAAGTAAAGATTTTCTACCCATCACGCAAAAAACATAAAGTTTGTAGGCAGTAACTATACAGACTAAAACAATTCTATAGAATTAGAGTGTTTTTTTTGCTGCGTTTTTAATCACAACTAAACTTTCACACATACAAAATTTCGACAGTGTTATATTTAACGTTTTCACGATGCTTTAGCTTTGTTAGCGTGTATACTTTCTCTTCTTCATGACAATTTTATGAACTACGTTGGCGGAAGTAGACACGCAAGCAAATTGTATTATGAGAAATATAATTCTTGAGAAAACTGTTCTTGGTGTTGTCTAAATTAATTTTTTCATTTATGATATGTATATAAACCATTTTGCATTGATACTTTAAATATTGTCATTCGTGAACATTTTCATGAAATGATTTAAAAAGAAACGATTGCTTGTCTTCAATTAGCTCATCATTATCTGGATTTTGCAGCGTTTGAATTAAATTAGTCCCTTCAAGTTTGCATTCCATTACCTATATGCGGAAGGGTGGGCGCTAGTGGAGGCGCATAGTTTCAGTCTACTCTATGTTTTAAAGAGTAGCAATATTCCTATAGTCTTTGTGAACGTTAAGTAAATTACAACTATTACAATTGTTGAGGATTATCGATGATCGACTTCATATATACGTTAATGTTTGAAAAACGAAAGAAGTAAAAGTTACCGGTTCATTAAATGCACCATGCTAAGCTAAACAAGAATGATGAGAATGTTAAAATGACTTGTTCTCTCGCAGTCGGATAAGAATGCAATATGAATACGATATGAATAATATATGTTTTTATTAATTATCTTTTCTTTTATAACAAAGAAATGTATTGCAACGCCGCTTTCAACAGATTTTACACTGTCTTAAAGCTTTTGTTAGAGCTAAATTGATTTAATCTTTATCTTTAACATCTAGCTACGTTCTTCAAAAAGTATCATTTTCCTATCCAAATAAAAACAAGTTTCTTTTACTGCTGGGATAATGACGTTATTGAAAATCATGTTTATTGTTCAAATGAACATGATGTTTTTAAATTGTTGTTAAGTTTCGATTGTTTTCATAAAGTTGGTAAGTTTTTGAACAAGCATGGTTTGTTGAAAATGTTGTTAAGTGTGTGTTGTTTTTATACACTTACAGGAAAATTTTGCTGTCTACAGTTGGCAATTTTTAAACTAACGTGGTTTATTAAAAAAAACAAAGATTGACATCAGTGGCATTGCTAGACTAAAACAACTAGTCGTGCTATTGCGATTGTAAACATGAATTACTAAAATGATTGGTGTTAACATAAGTCGATGGTGCCATTATGGTTGATGCACTCCTAGAAATTTTAATTTTAATTTTCACATTTGAATTCTCAAAGTCATTGTTTCATTTCAAATCGAATTAAATCAAATCATTAATTTATTTAAAATAAATAAGTTTTTTGAAATAGTTGTTTCGCCAATGTCAGGGCTCACCAGCATGCCTAGGAATTACAAATGCCATTTACATCATAGATCAATGACAAATGGTTAACTTGTGAATCCGGCATGGACAGCCTTGTAAAACGCTGAATAAGCAACCCGATTTTCAGGCGCCAGAAACTCGCCTTTCACACCTTTGCATGAAAACAAAGGAGTTCGGTTTAGAAAGAGGGAAACTTTTTGTAACATTTCATGGAGATACAATTGCTCAATTGTGCATCTCATTCCAGTCGTTTCTAACCCTTTAGGAATATATAATTTGGTCGTGCCGGTCTGAGTGAGCACGACTAAAAACAGGCGAAAGACGTTGCTTGTGCTTTTAGGGCATTGATTAAGGCAGACATCGGGTTAAAACACAAGAATAGTGTGTGCAATATAATGTATGTGATGAATAACCTACTGTTTTTTGTGTTTCCTCTATTGTACTTGCTTATGTCTCACACCAAAGGCATTTTCGAAAGCATTCGCGTGTAAAATTTAAACTAAGCCATTTCGAAACTCCTCCAATCTACGCCACCAAGGGTCGCCAGGTCACTATATCTTGCTGTGATCTTGTCAAATTGAGAAAATTTATGTAGGTACGAGGACTTGCAAAACAAATCATTCTTGTTGTTTTGATCCTTGTAGTCAGACGGTAGTAAAAACGGTGAAGAAGTCAATAGTGTTGAATTACTTGAAGACCGGAGAATTTTTTGTAAGTTTTGCAGACTTAGTTGTATTGTACTCTTATCAATAGTCAATATTAAAAACCGAAACGCTTTAAAACGTAAGGTTGAATTTTGCGGATTTTTTCATTCATTAGAAAATTCATTGTGTCAGAAGTTAAATTTGATCACATAAAGCCTGTCTTTCTTCTTTATTTATACGTCTATTTTCCGAGTACAAATCTTCAGATTATATTTTTAACAGAATAATTCTTTGCAACTCACCGGAATCAAAGTAAAAATTATTTAGGCAATAACAATTCAAACTAAAACCATTTCATAATAATTGGTGTATTTTTTGTACAGTTTTTATTCTCTAGTCAAGATGCAGATTTTCGACTTCCAAAAAACAAGGCAATAACATAGGCTTTTACTTTGTTCACGTGTATTCATGACAAAAGTGGTATGATGTACGTGGCAGAAAGAGCACACGCAAGCAAATTTTTTTATGAAATAGAATATGCTTAAGACTGATTTCAATACTTAGAGTTATAGGCTGATAAGTTTATTTCATAAAAGTAAAGCACCTTATTGATGAGAATTAGAAGGATCGACCTTTTGAGATAGTTTATCATTAAACAATTATATATGCTGCATTACTGAAATCTCGAATAGATTAAATGCAAATTTTATCAAATGAATATCTTTTGAAGCTTCCATAGATTTAATCATGTGCTTTTTCCGTATACTATCTAACTAAGGGCAACGGATTAAAAGAATTTGATTCTTGGTGCGTCTTGTGATTCTCTTTTGACACAGATTCATCGCACTGTGGACCTGAACTTTGGGTTTATAATAACTTTGTCATGTAAGCTGCAATTTACAATGCATTGTGACGTGTGGGTACCTCCCTATTTGGAAACTACATACAAATTAAGATTGGACTTCACCGAGGGCTTTGTACTACGAGACATTTTAAAATTTTTTGATCCTGGTCAACCTCATATACCTCTATATTAAAAAAATTGGCTCCTTTATTTTGTTGTTTGATTTTCTTTTCTAGAAAAATCATTATTTACTACAATTTCATCAATAAAACGCTGAGATTTTTTCAAAGCATGTTTCGGTATTGACGCATCTTTGTTTATGCATGCGCAATTTTGCTCAAATATGTAATTAACACTAGTTGGAGCAAATATCCCAATTTATATATATTAATCTACGACTATGTGCAATTATATGCAAGACAGGTATTCGACATAGTTTGGTGGTTCTGATCTGACGAGAACAAAAATGGTAAACAAATCAAAATTTTTGACACCGTTAACTCAAAGATCGCCACATTGATTGTAAATTTTCCAGACTTTGTTGTATTGTTTTTTCTTCGCGTGTTTCAACACCTGTGTATAAAAATACTAGGAAAAAAGATACTCAAAAGAAATCAGGCGGAAAGTTTTTTAATGGATTGTTTTATTCAAATTTAGGTTGCCGCATCTTGCGTTGTCTTCATATGATAAATAGTGTATTGTAGCTATAAGAAGTTTACAGAATTAGAAGAATTAAGTATTGTCTTGATGCGTGACTTTCGTGACTGTTGGAGTGGGGGGTTGCAACGTGTAATTACCGACAAACACGTGGTTGGTATATATATCTTGATGAATACTTTGCATGACGTTACAAAAGTAAGTCGTTCCAGACTTTTCCTGCGACTGACAAGCTCCATAAAAAGGAGCATTTTGCCTACTTTAAACAGCCTTAAAAATGGAGCGATTTGAGAAACTTAAAAACGTTTTTTACTGATACGGTGGAAATCACTCCTAAATTCAATGTTGCTGAAATGGGCACTTTAATGAATAAATTAACTTACGAAACTTATCGGGGGGGGGGGAATGTTAAAACATTCATTGTCGACAACTGATTTACCTTCAATTCTCAAAATTGCCCTATCTTTAACTTATTGGTATACAACACCCTACACACACTCTACATACATGTTAGTCAGATCTCTCATTTGCTTGCTCTAAACTTCCATAAATGAATTTCCTCTATTGTAATTTTGAAACTAAAGAGTGGACTAAATAAAGCTCATAATTTTGCCTTATAGCGTTAAACAGTTTAACTTTGATGTTTGGCGCAAAAAAATATGTACAATAAAGAAAAGTTTGCTGTTCACATGAAGAACACTGGAGAACTTAGATAAATTTTTGCGTGACTACTAGAAGAGATCTAGCTTTCACGGTTCCAGTAGTTATGCGGATCTTGGAAGAAGGGAATTGTTCCATGAATAATGGCGATTATGAAACGGCTATTGAACATTACAATAATTGCGTAAAAGTTGCAGACGAGAACAGCATCAAAATGATGGCATTATTTGGTCTTGGTAATGCTTACATACTCTCTGATAAAGGGGAGGAAGCAATAAAATGCTTTAATGATTGCTTGAATCTTTCATCTGAATTGGAAATTAAATATTTCCAACATCAAATATACCTCGGGTTGGGGAATATCCATTGTACCACTAAAAGATTGGAGGACCGTATAAAGAAAGAAGAAATGGTCTGTCTCTGTCATGTTGCATTGGGAGGATTGAATAAGTTACTTGAAAATTATGAAAAATCCTTGGAGCATTATAGGAAAGGATTCTCTCTGATTGAAAGTCAAGAGCTAGAAGACGAAATACAACGTTTATAACTGAAAGACAGTGAAAAAGATCATCATCGAATGCAACGACAAAAAAATGTCAGAAAAGGTGGTTTTAACGTTAGTAAAGATTTTGTCAACCGTAACATGAAGAACTTGTCAATTGTTACTTCAGCTGGAATTGTGAATGGAGTGTTAGCTGTTTATTGGGAATTAGCTGAACTGTTTGATAAACTTGAAGAATGGAGGGATGCAATAGATGTTTATGAAATATATCTTCATATCGTCAACAATGATAAAAATATAGCAAAACAAAAGAACGCTATGGAACGTCTGATACGATTATATGAGGAGGAAGGACGTGATTTGCAAAGGGATTCGATGAAAGAGAAGTTACATGAAGTTGACAAAATTATAGGTACAAAATGCAAATAAATTCAACTTGATTAAGATGCAAAGTTTTGTTTCTAATTGAGTAACATTTTAAGTTTTGGGTTAAGAACTTGACAATCCTTTGTTTAAAATTTTTTCAGCGCTTATGCAAATTTTGAAAAGAATCACTTGTCATTCTTTTGAAAAAATATGTTTTTTTGTTTCTTTTTATTGAACATAAAAATATTACTACAGATAGAGTAAAAACTCGGCAGGGTGTGTGTCTGTATTTTTCTAATCTGTAGTCCTATTGCATTATATTCATTAATTTTTTGTTATCAAATTTCCTCTCTAACACTCTTGCTAGAACTGTTTGTTTGAACAGGTGGTTTATGATGTAATGGTTGCTTTTAGTAGTTTTAACAAACTGTACAGTCGCTATCCAATTTCTCATTGTAATAGTTTATCTTTAACTAAATTTATGTATTTTATTATCCCCATTCATTTCTAAATTTAATTTTTTCCCTTCACTTTCAGAATTGCAACTACAAGAATGGAAATGTAATGATCCATCGATAAAACACCAAAAATTATTTTTAAAAATGATTGAGTATGGGCGAGATCCTAATGTGAACGTTGAACTTTTAAAAGATGTTCGAGTAATATTCTCAGATGAATTTTGCATTGGCAAAGGAAGTGATGGAACCCGTGTTTATCTTGGACTGGGAAACAACGGTTATGGAAAAGCAGTAAAGCGAATACACAAAGATAGCGGCAAAGACTTTGCAAATCGAGAAAAAGAAATTTTGAATGTGTTGAATGCAAAGCGCTCAAATTATGTTGTGAATTTTTGCCATTTAGAAGAGAACTTTGACGAAGACTATTTGTACGTGATATTGGATTTGTGTGAAGAATCGTTAGAGAATTATGTGAAATCTTTATCTTTGCAAGACCTTCAAAAAGTCGTTCCTAAAGTTCTTATTCAGATCTTAAATGGTCTTGTTCACCTTCACAGTGGTCAGCCTCCTATTCTTCATCGGGATTTAAGACCTCCGAACGTTCTTCGAGATGTACAAGGAAATTTTTTAATCGCTGACTTTGGTATAAGTCGAAAATTATTAAATGAAACTTCGACACATCGAAGCATACAAAGAGGAGCTAAAGGTTGGATAGCTCCAGAGTCATATGACGCATCGGATGAATCAATTGATAAAGTTCGTTACAAAAAAGAGTCTGACATTATGGTAAGTTCTTGAAGTAGAACCAGTGAACTCGACATTTGAATAACTGGAATGATAACCGAAGCCAAAAATTGAAGCCAAAAAAATATTTGTTGTCATCATTCGTCATCACACGTCAGGCTCTAGTCTCTCGCGTCTTCATTTTAATTTTTTTAAATCATTTGTTCCTTGGTAATGGTAGAGTTCGGATCTTGATCAGAGCGTAAAAATAACGAAATTTTTGGAATGAAAAGGTTCACGGAAAGTGAATCCAAGTGATAAATCGAGAAGCAAGATGAGGCCAACTTAGTCGATCTGCTCTTACGCTGCGGTTTTCCTTTAAAACATATCAAAGTCTTTAAGGATATTCAATTATTGATATCGAGATGACAACCATTTAGTATTTCAAGTTTCAAGCACTATCAAAATCGATGAAAAATACAATCGCTCTGTAAAAAGTAAAAATGCGAGTTATCGACTCAATATTTTTTATGAAACTGGATATTCAAGTTTCTTTTTTATTCGGAAAAACAGATCTTTAAATCCACTTAAATGACAAAAAAGACAAACACTGTCTGACACCGTTTGAAACTTTACCTTCGGACGAAAGAAAAGTTTATGCTTGAATATTTTCTCGTCATATTTTCTATTGTATTGTCTTTTTAGCATACAGTGTAATTTTCATTTGGCTTTTCCTCGTTACAAGTTGTAAGTTACAACGAACTCACTGTAGTAAAGTTTCAGCTGTAAAAAATAACCTTTTGCGAGGAGTTGGCCTCGTGTGTTGTTTGTCGTGATGTTGTTTATATGTTTATGCTTTCGCAATTTGTATTCAAATTTATATTGGCCGTGTATGTTTGGCACTCAGGGGAATGAAACTGACGTACAAACCGCGTGAATATTCGACTTTGAAGGACTGGAACTGACGTACAAACCGCGCAAGAGACTAGGACTTTGGCTTCAATTTTATATCTATAAAATGTATTGTCGTTATCATTCCAGATATATATATATATGGAGTTCACTGAGTAGAACTAGAGGTCCAACCACAGCTCAATGTTTTATTTGCATTTAATTAGATATTGGTATTTGGTAGTGATAATGATTTTACCTCAATTTTTTTCTGTACCTTGATTGTATCGTCATATAGTGTCAACATTAAATAAAAATAAATAAATTTTTGTTAATCGTGTTACAGTTACAATTGTATATTCCTTATTTAGATTGCTTTTAATTCATATATATGGCTACAATTCTATTTGGAGAACATTTTTTAGATTTTTTTAAGCTGCACATTTATTGTTGAGTTCGGCAAATCGTAAATAAATTTAATCTTTAAGATTTTAGTATCCACCACTGACTGTTTATGACAATTTTTTATTGAAAATAGAACGCAGGAATGGTGGCTTACTATGTTGCAACAAAGGGAAAACATCCTTTTGGAATTGAACGGCATAGACTGGGCAACATTTTGGATGGAAACCCAGTTGGATTGGACGAAATCAAGGATGCCACGTTCAAAGATCTTTTATCGTGGATGCTACAGTTGATACCTGAAGACAGGCCATCTGCCGATAAGGCGTTAAAGCACCCTTATCTACTATCAGACGAAGAGAAATTTAACATGCTGTGTGATATGGGGAACCAATTGGAGGTGAAACATTCACAAAGTCAAAAATCTCCCACTTCAGACGTTCATACGCAGTTGTATGGTTCCACAGAATGGATGAAGCGTATTGATGATGAAGTCGTCAAAGATTTGATCAACTTTGAAGTAAACGACAGTATAAGAACTCTAAAGTACGAGTCTACATGGGCAGGATGCTTAAGATTTATACGAAACGTTCACCAACATTGGCAAAATAAGCCTCGTCAGCATCTATCACAAGATGTGAAGCAAGGCAATTATAAAGAGTATTTCCTGCAAGTTTTCCCGGAGCTTCCTCTTCTGGTGCACAAAGTCATAAGGTCGACTGACGGCAAATCCACCCCAAATCTGAAAGAACACTTTGCTAGTAAGTTAACCATTAAAATATTTCTTTTTCCTCAATGATGTAGCTAATCAATCTCTAAAATCTCTAAGTGTAATAAATGCAACCTAGTCAGTCAGTTATTCCGGTTATACAGTCGAAGTGTAAACTTTCTGCGTTTGATTTGTCGCGATATGTTTGTTCATTAGTGCATCAAAGATTGTCATGAACAAGCTAACCATTTTAAAAATTTTATCTCCAGCATGCCCTTTGACGTTATGAAATGGTTAAAACGCAAATATATTTTTAACATATACTAATATTGATATTGAGATAAACAAGGAGTGAGTGTTTGCAGGGACGGCGAAGCAACATTATGAACTGCCGGGCTAAGTCTTGAATTCTACTATGGAGTTTTAAAAAACACCTTTTAAAAAACACCTCTTATATTTTTTGCAAATATATTTTTATAAATATATGTTTTGAATGTTCCAATATCAGCAATGTACATGGCAATAAATAATGAACATTTCCTAAGAAATTTGTCTCCACAGGGGCAATACCTCCTAGTAAATATGGTTTTAATTCGGAAATTTGGCCCCCCTTACAAACTTTAACATCCATTTCAAAAATGGTGCAATTTTTTTCATAAGCAAGATCACAGGTGATGTAACATAATACAAGTTATGTAGATCTTTACATTTAGTCACATAATATCAATCTAATCAGAATAGCTAACGCACTTTGGTGATGACGTCTTGTGAATATTAACGCCAATAAAGTGTGAGTAAAAAGCAAATCAAAGACTTGAATCACTTACATATTTCATACACACATTATGCAAACGCATCCCCGCTGTGTTAAACCCTGTCCTCACTTATGCGTTTTCTGTTAAAAATTTATATTTTTTAATGCTTTTTCGCCATCCGTCGACACTGAAACGCTCAAAAAAGGACACGCTGCCAAATGAAAACGTATAGATTTGAAAACGCTCTCAAAAATGGAGTGATTTGAAAATGCGTGCGTTTTGCTTTAATGTAGACAGTCAAAAAACGGAGCCTTTTGAGAACGATGACGTCAATGACTACTTTTTTTGGCATTTTTAACATTAAATACAAGTTTGGCGAGCCTTAGCGATGTGCTTTTGAGGTTGTATATTTGTTTAATCCCTATTTTGGAAGTTCATATTTTGCTTTCTTACCTTTTATTGATAACTTATAAAAGGAGAATGTTGACTCTTCAAACATTGTTTTTTTCCGGTAGCTCAAACAACCACTATCGAATAAATAAGCCATATGAAAGAATGCCAGAAAGATTTCGGGTTTTTCCAGGAAGAACAAGTGCGTGGTGGGATAACTTTGTATATGAAATTATGAATTACTCGCCTTGGAAGATATATTTAATGCCGCAAGATGTCACGAAAACTGTGGGCGCTTTATGTATAAGCATGCGCAGTTAATTAATACACCTTAAATTCAGTAATAACTTTAATTTCGAAAACGCATTAGTGTGGACAGATGCAGATAACACAAAAAATCTGTCAATGTTGCAAAAAGTTTCATAAATAACTTTTAAACTCTTAGAAATTCGATTTTAGTAAACACTTAACTATTTCCGAGCTTTAAATAACGTAAATTACTACTTTTTGTGAGTTTGCAGATTGTGTTAAGAAGTGATTGAGTCGTTTAAGCCTTTATGCTTTTTAATTTGTGGAATGATTTTCATGAGTCATTACTTTAGTTATACTCACTCTTTACTCGACGCTTGAAAATTAACATGTTCACTAACGCATGATAACCGGCATTGCTGAAGTGCGATAGTTTTTCTGATTTGTTTTTTATTAAATGTATAAATCCACATAATTTATAACATCATAACTTGCCTGTGATTTCAGTTTTGGAAAAAATTGCACCATTTTCGTGATAAAGTTAAAGTTTTCAAAGGGGGCATTTCCGAAGAGGGGCTAAATTTTTGGGAGGGGTCAAATATCCCGTTAGATCGGGCTTTCAAGAGGCCTGTACTATCTAGACATAATTTTTACTTTTTGCTCTTCTGGAATAACTAAATGTGCAAAATTTAGACTATTTATGAAGTTGAAAACCGTACAAGCGTAAGAAATATTATGTGATTCGCAAGCTAACCGTGGTCATGTTATACACCATTGAAAATAAAGAATTTTGGCAATTCAGACAAAAGACATCAAACGGGTTACTTTATCAACAAATTAGTGAAAGATGATCAAAGAGGAAGATAAGCTCAATGAGATGAAATATGGTGCAGTCAAAGAAGTCCGAAAGCCAAATAAAGTGAAAAGGACTTTCATCACGAAAATTGCGCAAAGCAAGTTTTTACAGAGCAAGTAATACTTTTTGGTATTATATTATAAGTAAATGCACGCTTTCGGGGATGAAAAAAATTAAATGTTCTGTTGACAAAAGCGAGGTTTAGTTACGTCAAAGAATATTGAGGATGGACGTTTACGACTAAATATCCTCATTCCTATATTTGCGGTAACACGTTAGTAAATATTTGTGTTGTAACAAAAGAAACCGAGGCGACCATATCTGTTGACCGATGCAGATCTGTATATTCCATTATCGACTGTTGGTATGAATGATTCTACCTCAACTGCTATCTCCAAATACACTTTAGCATCAGTTGACCAAGTTTAAGGAATTCGTGTGCTATACTTTAAGTCAAACATAAGATCATAAAATGAATGCTTTAGCAAGTGATATTTGTGGTGAATATTGGGTAGAGGCGTTTCTTTAGTTTTGTGCTGCAAACGTTTTGTGCAATAACCTACGAGCTCTTATTCTCCAGAACATAATGGTATTGCAGAGCATTTGACTAGGACAATCACAGCATTGAATCGATCAGTGATGACGCTGTCTTGTTGGCTATACAAACAGGGAGAAACGCAATAAATTTCACTTAAAGTTTACAGTCTGGTGTTATATATATAGTTCAAGAAGATCGACGATGGCAATGTTCATTTTCTACTGGGAATGTTGATCTGCGATTACTTTAAGAAGATTTTCAACCAATTTGCGATGGAGAAATGCAAACGCATGTACACTTGTCGAACCGTCTAAGAAAATTTTAGATTTCTCAGACGATGAAAAGATTTAGTAAAAGTCTCTTTTGTTAAATCTCCCTCGGTTTACAGGACTTTTAATCACAAATATCCCTGCGTTTACTTACAATAAAGTTGCTTCTTATTTTCATCTCAAATAATTTACCAATGTACTATATAAAATCACAGGGATTGGCATTATGTTTGAATGTGGACAATAACATTGAATGAAAGTAATATCCGATCAACTTCGAAGGATCTTCCGTTTTGTCTCTTGAGTAACATTTCACTGCCCGAAATTAAGATTAGCCTTTTTGAAAAAAAATGAATACATTACCATTTTATGTATTGAATAATATACCAAAAGCCAAGCCTATACTATTATGTTATTTGCACGTATTCGAATCTTGTGTGCGATGAATTAGTTTCAGCTCACTCCACATGTTTGATTATTTTCTTCCCTTATCCCTAAATGTAATACTTTTACATAATTTTAGAATTGCAGTTGAAAGAATGGAAGTATTTTGATCAATCAATAAAGCACAAAGAGATGTTCTTAAAATTAATTAAGTATGGACGCGACCCAGATATCAAGGTTAAATGTGTAAACGACGTACGTGTAATTTTCTCGGACGAGTTTTGCATTGGCAAAGGAAATAATGAAACCCGTGTTTATCTTGGACTGAACAAGGTTGGGTATGGAAAAGCAGTAAAACGAGTACGTCGAGATAACTGTAACAAAGAAACAGAGAACGAAATGAAAATTTTGAATGAAATCAAAGCAAAGAAGTCGAGTTATGTTGTGAATTATTACCACTTTGAAGAAGATACCGGAACTGAATATGTCTATTTGATACTTGACCTATGTGAAGAATCGCTGGAGAGTTTTGTAAAATCTTCTACTTTGGAGGATCTTCAACAATCTCTTCCCGAAATTCTCAAGCAAATTTTAAAAGGATTAGCTGATCTTCATAGTGAACCAAATCCTATTCTTCATCGTGACTTAAAACCATCTAATGTTCTTCGAGATTCACAAGGACAATATCTGATAGCTGACTTTGGTATTAGTCGAATATTGATAAATGGCCTTAAGACACATGTAAGCGATGCTACTAAGGGAACTCAGTATTGGATGGCTCCTGAATCGTACGTTGTTAATGAAGAAACAGTTGATAAAGCGCGATACAAACCAGAGTCTGATGTAATGGTGGGTGTAAAAATATAACCATTTTCAAATTACTTCCAAATTTTTTAGAAATCTTTTGTTGACACTGTTATGTTTTTATTTATTTTAGAATGCAGGAATGGTGGCTTATTATGTTGCAACAAAAGGGAAACATCCTTTTGGATCTCCAGAGTATAGACTGAAAAACTTGTTAGATGGAAACCCTGTTGGCTTAAAGGAAATCGACGATGTTCAACTTAAAGATCTACTTTCATGGATGTTACAACTTGTACCTGAACTAAGACCATTAGCCAACGAGGCGTTAAAACACCCTTATCTACAATCCTATGAGAAGAACTTTGATATGCTGTGTGATGTGGCAAACCAACCAGGGATAGAGATACCGTATTTAGGTCATCCTCTTAACTCAGATGTGCATGAGCAGTTAAATGGTCTAGAAAATTGGATGGACCGTATTAAGCCTGAAGTCTTTAGTAATTTCAATAAAAGTCAATACGACTCCACATGGTTGGGTTGTTTAAAATTTTTGCAAAACGTTCACCAGAATTGGCATGACAAACCAATCAATGAAAGCAACTATAAAAAGTATTTCTTACGAGTTTTCCCAGAGCTTCCTCTACTGGTGCATAGAATCACAAGGCATAATGATCGGACAACAAGACCTGATCTTCAAGATCATTTTACAAGTAAGTTATAACCACTGAAATGATTCTATTATTTTCAATAATGGATTTAATTGACAACTATATAACAACAAAATTTATCATGACTACAAAGCTCTCAAGAAATAATTGACAACTATAAAGAGTATTTCTTGAGAGTTGTCTCAGAGCTTCCCCTTTTTGGTCACAGAGTAAAAATTATACATAAGGGCCACTCAAATGTGCAATGCGTCCTTACGTCCGCCATCATTCCAGCAAGATACTTAAGGCTTCTCACATGTTTTCAACCACTGCAATTATATGACGTCATTTCTTCACAATAAAATCGAAAATATTTCAATATAAGAAATGATGTTGTGTCATTTAAGTGACTGGGAACAATTGGAAAGCCCTAAATATCTTGCTGGAATAACGGCTGCCAAAATGCGCGGCACAACATGCGCGAGGACAAAAATATCAAAGACTCTGACACGAGTGATCCGTCTGTATATTCCATATTCTATGTTTTGGTGCACAGAATCATAAGGTTAAGAGAATGGAAATCAAGACCTGATCTTGAAGAACAGTTTGTGAGTACGTTTCAATCGAAGAAATAATTCTTCAGTATGAACGAGATCGATAAATGAATGTTGCATTTTCCCTGATAACTTTCCAGCACAGCAGTTTGTTGTTTCCGCCTGTTGGCCAGGTGATTTGAACGTCAGTTTTTTGTCGGGAATCGTATAAATATGCTTTTTCTCTGTTAATTTTTCTTTTTTAGTCTGATAATTGTACTTTATGTTCTAGAAATATATTAAACTATTTTAGAAAAGTTAACTATTTTATTATTTCTCATTGAAAAAGTCGGTCAAGTGAAAACTCTTGTTAAGACTTTATTATCTTGAATAGGTAAATTAATCACGAACAAATTCATGCTGTGTTATTATCAAAGGATCGATCTTAAGCTAATTTCCTTTAATTCAAATCCACTCCTTTGATTCGTCGTCACTTTTTGTTGTGATGTGTTTTAATTTTTCATAGATATTCTTCATTCATAAGGTTGATAAGGTTTTCGATGTAAATATTTTTCCAATTGAGTTTTCCAGTCAGCTCTGGAAAGGATTTACGACGTCGTTTTCAAAATTTTCATAGAGCACTTTTGTTTCTGCTGAGACAATGATATAAATTGCTGTTGCGTGCATTTTTCAGTTGTTCAACAGTTTTGCACTGTAATATTTAAATTTCAAGTTTCACGTAAAAAAGCATAAAATCCAATTCAACTATTCATTAAAGAGCATCGGTTTACCCTGTCGTAACCAATATGTTTAGGATGGCTGATAAAAAAAAGGAAAGCTTGATTAAAACAACGAGATAGAAAACATATTTCTACTTTAACAAAGAAGAAGTTGTGAATGACTCTAAATTTGAACTACCTCTCAAAAACTGGGCTCCAACAATTGATCTCTCGAAAGATTTTGAAAGCGACATTCTTATAAATTGTCTCAAGTAACAATAGTTTATGAATATCAACGATCAGTTATTAACCTCCCGCAATATTGTGATCATTTGCTTCTTGATTGCATTGGCATGAAACTCTCGGTTAGCACTATTTTCCACCCAGCAAACCGCCCTTTACTTTACACAATCGGAAATAAATTAAAGATGGCGGCTAATGGGAAAGAACGAAAAGCTAAAAGGAAACCATGCATGCACTGGTGCTAGGTCGTTTTGAGATGGCGAGTAATTTTATATTTTTATAATACAGTTTTTAATATCAACATATGAAAATATTTACAGATAAATGTTGCAGTATAAATTTTCATGCAACCACCTTAAGTTATAAACTTATAATCCAGGCTGGAAAATATGTCGTTTTTCGACGATTGTGCAAAATATTATATAAAATATTATATTGTGTAAAATATTAGATTGTGTAAAATATTATATTGTGTAAAATATTATATTTCAAAGAAAAGGGCGGTTTGCTGGGTGGAAAATAGTGCTAACCGAAACTCTCAGTAACTGGTGTAAGAATTGTGACTAGTTTACTTGTAAATATATACTTTATTTCGATATTGAGCACTTTTTATTCGTAATAATTTTACACGAAATTCAACTAGCTATAACGCGTTTTGTTTTAATGTGGACAATCAAAAAACGGAGCCTTTTGAGAACGATGACGTCAATGACTACTTTTTCCGGCATTTTTAAAATTCGATACAAATTTGGCGAGCCTGAGTGACGTGCTTTTGAGGTTGTATATTTATTTAATCCCTATTTTGGAAGTTAATATTTTGATTTCCTAGCTTTTATTTATAACTTATAAAAGGAGAATTTTGACTCTTCGAACATTAGTTTCTCCAGTGGCTCACACAACCACTATCGAATAAATAAGCCATATGAAAGATAGCCGGGAGGATTTTGGGTTTGTCCAGGAAAGCAAGCGCGTGGTTGGATAACTTTGTATATGAAATTATGAATTACTCGCCTTGGAAGATATATTTAATGGCGCAAGATGTCACGAAAACTGTGGGCGCTTTATGTATAAGCATGCGCAGTTAATGATTTAACACACTTTTAATTCGGTAATAACTTTTAATTTCGAAAACGCATTAGTGTGGACAGATGCAGACAGTGGCGTAGCTAGCGGTCTTGCTGGTCGGGCCCAGCCCGACCAAATATTTTCCCAAAAATGAAAAATGGCGTAGCTAGCGGTCTGGCTGACAGTGGCGTAGCTAGCGGTCTGGCTGGTCGGGCCCAGCCCGACCAAATATTTTCCCAAAAATGAAAAATTTGTTTTCGTTAAAATTGGATTTGCGAAAATTTTAAATTCTGCGACTCTTTTTGGAATAATCCACAGTCTATTAGTGTAATATTTGTCAAATTGCGTCGTTATTAGCAAAATTATCATATTTTTAAACGTTACTTAGCAACAATGACTAGTGCATTTCTAGTGCCAGGCATTACGCAGTTTAGTCGGGCTCTGAAAATTCAGCCCGACCAAATAGTAAAATCTATAGTGGGATTACCTGCAATCTGATTGGTTGACAGCAACCAAGCAAACTCAAATGCGCTGTTTCGCAACATCTAGTCGGGCTCTGAAAATTCAGCCCGACTATGGCAAGCCATTTCGGAAAAAAGGTGGTCGAGAAAAAAATCTCCGTTGAGAAAGCAAACCGATGTTGAGAAACACGTGTTTATCATTGAGAATTTGCAGATGGTAGTTCAGAAAAGCAAATATATTGTGAGAAAAAATTCCCGGTCGAGAAAAAAATCCCGGTCGAGAAAAAATCTCGGTCGAGAAAAAAAATCCCGCTCGAGAAAAAAATCTCGGTCGAGAAAAAAATCGCGGTCGAGAAAAAAATCCCGGTCGAGAGCCAGTGCACGCACTACCTAAAGATTGGACATGAGGCAGACGAGGGCTGTCATGTAGCACTGCATATTTGGTACTAATATGAATTTGGGACTACTTTCAACAGCACAATCATCAGCACAATTCATCACCGCATTCAACTGAAATTTATTGATAAAAACAATAAAACAATAAAGTCCTGTTGAGGGAGGGACTTACTCCCTCTGCCTGGTCTATTTTGAATGATAAATTTTAGTTGAATATGATGATGATTATTTTGATGACTGTTGTGCTGAATGTGTCCTCGGCCTCCGCGATTAAAAGATCGTGCCACTTCCTCGTTTATAGACGATAATTCAGAGCTTTCACGACATGGTGAAATAACTTCTGACAATTCTTCGACTCGAGCTAAAATGTTGTTAATAAGTTGACCTGCTCTTGGAGACCCGTTACTCGCATTCGCATCCATCTTACAATTGCCACTGTGAATTTGGCACCACGATGGGCACCCACATATGGCACCACATTCAACACAACAGTCATCAAAATAATCATCATCATATTCAACTAAAATTTATCATTCAAAATAGACCAGGCAGAGGGAGTAAGTCCCTCCCTCAACAGGACTTTATTGTTTTATTGTTTTTATCAATAAATTTCAGTTGAATGCGGTGATGAATTGTGCTGATGATTGTGCTGTTGAAAGTAGTGCCAAACTCATATTAGTACCAAATATGCAGTGCCACATGACAGCCCTCGTCTGCCTCATGTCCAATCTTTGGGTAGTGCGTGCACTGGTTCTCGACCGGGATTTTTTTCTCGACCGGGATTTTTTTTCTCGACCGAGATTTTTTTCTCGACCGGGATTTTTCTCGACCGAGATTTTTTTCTCGACCGGGATTTTTTCTCGACTAGGCCGTATTCTGTATCAAGAAAATGTGCTAAAAAATGATTTCTAAATGCCGAAATTCATGACTACATAAAAATCACAGAAAACTACTTATTTTTAATGACTGAATATGATTTAAGTTGTTAGCATCTCTTGAAATTGCAATCTTTGGAGTTTCAGTACTCCAAAGTTTCATAATATTCGCTTAAAGTTTTACCTGTCGCCATCTTGTTTTATTTGTGAAACTGATGACAATATAGCAAAAATTGCGTGTGCACTGTTACATGATAGCAACTACTATCATGTAATATCATTTATAAACTACTATTATATTATATTATATTACTAAGCATTCCATATTTTTATATTTTAACTTTAAAATCCATTTTGCAATGACATTACTAATTAGGACATAATCTAGAAGCTTGCTTGCATGCGCTAGAAGCTTGCTTACATGCGTAAACATATTTTGAAACCGCAACCGCATTTGTTGTTATTGTGGTTAACTATTTAGTGCTGTAACATACTATATTGCGTATGGGACGTAGGTCACAAAACCACAATACTTCCCATTAGATATTATATATATATGAGTAGTTTACACCACTGAGTACAACCTACGAGGACAACCTACGAGCACAAGCTACGAGGAGATAAACTTAGGAGGCATAGACTACCGAAGTAGTTTGACAAGCTACAATCTACCAGACAACTATCTTGGCATTTATGCCATAACTATCTTTTGGCTTTTGTGCCTTTAATCTATTTGGAAAACTGTTGTGAGTCATTGTTGGACTCACGAAC